GGTGATATAACATGTGGACCTCAAGGCTCAGTGCACGGTATATAATTCTCAGTAATGATATAACATGTGGACCTCAAGGCTCAGTGCACGGTATATAATTCTCAGTAATGATATAACATGTGGACCTCAAGGCTCAGTGCACGGTATATAATTCTCAGTGGTTGATATAATATGTGGACCTCAAGGCTCAGTGCACGGTATATAATTCTCAGTGGTGATATAACATGTGGACCTCAAGGCTCAGTGCACGGTATATAATTCTCAGTAGTGATATAACATGTGAACCTCAAGGCTCAGTGCACGGTATATAATTCTCAGTGGTGATATAACATGTGAACCTCAAGGACCACTGAGAATTATATACCGTGCACTGGATATAATATGTGGACCTCAAGGCTCAAAATTACTTTTATGAAGTTTAAATTCGCGGGCCTGTGTTTTCAGCCGGGAAGTAACTGAGAAGTAGGAAGGCTCACGTGCTCTATTCAACTCACAAAGTCCCGAGTTCACGTCCACCGTCCGCGAAGGTTATCTCTTAAAAAATAAAAATAAAACATGCTATATAATAACAATACTAATCAGTACTGCCATAAAGTTATAGTCATACACTGGAGATAATTATATTTTGTTTGTTTGTTTGTTTCCGTCAAGCACAAAGCTACGATTTTTAGAGTTATAAGCCATTATACTTACCGCTAAGCCACTAGGTGCCTACGTTGTAATGATTTCTCTTGTTGGGCGGATTTTCTTAGGATTATCAGTAAAAAAGGGAATAATGCAAAGTTTCTTAACGATTTTGTTTCTTCAATTTTAAATTCCACGTTTAATGTAACCACCGTTCGCTGATAGGCCTTACTTCACAAACAAACTGTGTTTAACAGAACGTTTACTTATTTATTTCTTCGTCGACACTCAAACTCAGTAGCTACAGTATTGAACTAAATGACTAACTGGCTGACTCACTCAATCTAGCCTTACTCGCTTTTTATCATGTGGCTCAAATGGTTTCGTAACCTTCAGAGAAAGTTCCAAATACTAAACCCACGCATATCATGTTGCGTCAAACCAAACCTCTAAATTAAAAATATAATTATATAAATATATATATTATGTTTAGACAGAAAATTCGTACTTTCTGGCTTGGCGATACCTCGTTTTCACCCTCTTCTTCTTGCAGAGTTGACGCAACATCCTGAAGAACTTTTTGCAAATATTCCAACAACTTCTGGTATTTGAATTCTTCGTCCTCTTCCACATCTCCAGACAGGGTATCTTTGGGTATTTGATAACTATTTCTGTTCAATCTACTTGCTTGGTTTGTCGAATCCCGACTCCCATCGATAGCGTACACGTTCTTGTATCTCGATTGATCATTAGGTGGAATATATGTTTCATCAGCGTATTCTGAGTACGTGTTTTCTTTACTGGGGTTAAAGCTGCAACCACGAAAAGAAAAAACAAAACCATGGGAAGGTAAATAAAATACACATACCTCATAACCATAAAAAACATTTTCAAACACGGATGTTTCATAAATGTTTTAGTGTTAAAAATATTCATCTGTTACTATATATAAATAATGAAAAGACAATTTGAAGGAGAAGAAAATAAGATGTAGTAAAACCAACACGAACCTAAATATTCACACAAAACTACTCACTGTTTACCTCGAGTCTCCAGCACAAAACTATTCACTGTATTTTGTGTGAATATTTACGTTCGTGTTGATGACTCGAACCTAAGTGCCTACACAAAACTACTCTGTTTGCTTCGAGTCCCCAACACGAACCTAAATATTTACACAAAACTACTCAATGTTTACCTCGAGTCCCCAACACGAACCTAAATATTCACACAAAACTACTCAATGTTTACCTCGAGTCTCCAGCACGAACCTAAATATTCACACAAAACTACTGACTGTTTGCCCTGAGTCTCCTCCCTATTCAGCATTGAACACCTTCTAATAACAAAAACTATATGAGAACAAGTTCATGTTTTTTTCTGTAGCATTCCTCCCACACTAAAAGACACATCACAAAACAAAATATATAAGTATCTAAAAGGTAGCTCCTCCCACACTAAAAGACACATCACAAAACAAAGTATATAAGTATCTAAAAGGTAGCTCCTCCCACACCAATATATATATATATATATTAATGTAATAATCAAAGAGTTTAAACCCAATATTACATTACATATGACTGTTCGAAGCCCTTGCATAAAGATACATGATAACACCTTAAACGTTTAATAAGAAAAATGTGATGTAAGATGTAATCTTAATAATTAGTAACTCTTACCTGATGTAGGCTAGGTCTTCAGGGTTCACGTGCTCTAGCTGCTGGGTCACCTCCAGAGGCTAGAAAGGGCGGTAGTTAACACACGTGATTAATGTATGTCTCTTATTATATTCGAAAAATACCCTATAAACATTACAAAAGATATATGCCTATTTCACGTCTTTGCTCTAATTTTAAACGCCACAAAATAAATTTGGATGCAAGTGAAGAATACATTACGGGTTGAACGTCCAATCTTCTGACATCTGTTCATTATTCAAGGACTTACTAAAAAAAGTAGTAACAAGTGACTAAAATATCCAGTCCTTAGCGTCCATCAAAACCTTTGGGTAAATATTATTTGGACCAGGAGCATTCTTTAAACTTCCCAGTTTTTTTTCCTAACAAGCTCATAATTAACATGACCTACATATTCGATCTTGTTTCGATCTGTCAACTGTTTAAGATAAGGAGTATTGTTTAAGTCAAACTTAATAACCAAGCCATCTCATAATCATCAGATATGAGACTTCCCGTATCACCCCTTAAAGACCTTTATCCCATCCTAAACATTTTGTTTACCCTTATTCTATTTAGTTTTTAAATTTTCATTCAAGTAATTTCCCAATTTAAAAAAAAGGAGTTAATCTCCCCAAATACTGATGTTCGTGATTCCTAGTCTAAACAGTATAAACCTATATGTACATCGATATCTAGTTGAAACAGTGATCTAAATAACTTCTAGTTTGACAATGTAAATCTACCTACAACTATTTAAATTACTTCAAGTTTAAACATTCTTCTGGTTTAAGACTTTAAATGTAAAATCAAATCGTAGTTGTCCTTGTTTTTTAAACAAAACCTAGGAGTTCTTCCAGTTGTCACTACTCTCAATAAAACACGTTACTTAACCGATTACTACTAACATTAACAGCTTTAGAAAAATGAGAATTTTCAAAACTCTTCCTGTTCTTAATTGAAGTAATAAGAATCATCCCAAGTCATTA